GCGAGAGCAAGAGTCAGTTGAATATATATAGCATATACTCGGTTACAGTCAAAGAGAGGAAAACTCAAATCATCGCTTGCTTTGGCTGTGCGCTCAGCTATAGAACTATAATCGACATTTTTACTCCTCTCCTCGTAGGCACACATTGGGTACACCCCTGCAACGTGTCTTCAAAATGTGCACCAATATGCTCACTTTCACACGAATTCACTCCTCTTGTCGTAGGTAAACGCTGTTCGATACGAGTCTTGGGCTCTCGAAAAATGTACGCTCAGTTCAACGGCTGGCTACGGTGGGTCAACCCGATCAGTGCCAAAAAGTCGTCTTGCATCGTAGCATGGGCATTAGCAACCTCTCTACTCATCTCTGCTAAAATCTGGCCAGCTCATCAGGTAAACTCACAGTTGGTCATAAAAAGGTCGGTACAGCGAGTTAAATGGTTTATTGGAAAATATCTTTTCATTAAACTTGGTAATAGCTGAGGTGTACTTAACACAATCACTGCGCCCTGTAAATAGTACCCAGTACGATGGATAATCAAGCCGTTCGAAAGGAACTTTGCAAGGGCTCCGCACGAAAGACCCGAATACTTGGGGCAATGGGAAATGGTAATGACACAAAAAAAGAGCAAGGAAATTTCTTATGCGTCGATGCACATTTTATTTACAGAACCTAATTGATATGGTATAATGTTTTAATTGCAGCATCAATCTTATTAACTGCGGTATACTTTTTATGACCCAAAAGAAAAATTGCACGGTAGAGCTAATATGAGAAAATCGTGTGAAGTGGGTTTCGTAGATTTATAAGTGCTTAGTAACACCCCCAGTAGTCAATTTATTGTTAACTTTTCTTTGTAATAACTCAATTATTAGTTATAGGAGCTCAACCAAAAAGTATGACTAATACATTGCATGAAGTGGTCAGTATTTGCGGTACATAATTTTGGCACGTAATTAAATAGCACTGGAGCAACAACATTGCAATAGGTTAACAGCAATATTACTTTAATTATCTATAGCAACTGATACAAAGCAAACAACCGATTGAAGTCCTGTATGGCATATCCGTTATGTCTTGGTCAGACTGATCACTGACGTCTGGTTCTGTTGTAAACAGTAAATTTATATCCAATCCACTAGGTAGAGATGTGTTCGGGGGATTACAGTCTTGCATATTGAATTTCATATGAACTTCTTGTATGGATTCTGTTTGATCCAGCTGAATAGTTTTATTTTAATGATCGATATTGAAATTCATGCCTAGAAACTTTGTAACCTGGCCAAGGTCTTTTAGTGGAAATAAGATTTGAAGTGTTTTTTTAAATTCAATAATAAAAGGTCAGCAGTTTAAAAAAACAAGTATATCATCTACAAAAACTGTGATGATGATGAAATATGGTTTTTAAAAGTAATAATGCACACAGGCATTGTTTGTTGGTTCAGTCAGGGTCATGGACTGAAACACTTGATGGAGTCAAAGATTCCACACCCTGCTCTTCTGTTTCAGACCATCGATAGCCTTGTTTAATTTACACAAAACTTGTTTGGATGATTTGGATTTTGGTAACCTCGAGGTTGTTGTAGATAAATCTCATTTTCAATTTTGCCATGTAAAAATCCTGTCTCAATGTTCAGGTGGTGTACTAGTATCACAGTTCTGCTGGCTGCTGCTATGATGAGACGCACCGTGGAAAACTGCATAAATGGTGCATAGGTTGAATCATAATTCGATCTTGACACTTAAGTAAGACCTTGAGCTACGAGTCTGACTTTGTATATTACATTTCATGACTTATCAGCATTTTTTTGTAAATCCACTTTGAGCCAATGAATTTCTTGTTTGATGGTAGAGTTTCCAGAGTCCAGACTTCGTTTTTGTAGATAGAAGACACTTCTTTGTGCATAGATTCTCTCCACTACTTCCATGGCTTGTTGGATAGTTAAGCCACTGAGATCGTCCATGGCAGCTGAATATACCTGGTAATCTTTTAATTATGTGGGTGTCTTTTTATCTTTTGAGGGATAAAGATTAGAATCAGTTGCTTCAGTACCTAATGTAGGAGGTTAAGAGTCAGTGATAGAATTATCCATAGTTCCATCTTGTTGTTATTGTTGTTGTTGTTGTTGACCTGCTGCTGAAGCATCTGTAGTTTGAGCATTCAGATCAGAAAAGAAGAAAGGAGAATAGATGGGCTGGCTTAGACTTTCTTCGTTGAATTTTACGGTTCTTGTTGTTATTATTTTTTTAGCCTGGGGGTCCCATAATCTGTTACCCTTTTGATCCAAATTCTAACCAATGAAAATGCACTTTCTGGTTTTATTAGCAATTTCGCTGCGAAACTGGTCTGGGATTAAAGCGTAGGCGGGGTATCAAAAAATTCTCATGTGAGAGAGGTGAAGAGGGTGTCCATCCATTTTACATGTGGAGTTTGACCTTGTAATTTTGAGTGTGAAGAACGATTATAGATGTAGGCAGCTGTAGCAACGGCGTCTGGCTAAAAAATTTTGAAATCTTGGCTTGCTGAAACACTGTTGTTCCTTTTTCTAACAATATTCTGTTAACTCGTTTGGCCACTCCATTCTGTTGTGAAATTAAAGGTAAGGTTGTTTGATGTTGGATACCTCGTTGATTTGAACTTCTACGCACTTCTTGATTTACATATTTTTTTCCGTTATCGGATCTCAGAATTTTTAATTTTTAATCACTTTGATTTTCAACAAAATTAACAAACCTTTTCAGACAAATGTGTACCTCTGATTTATTCTTGAGAAAATATACAAACAGGCGTCTGGAAAAATCATGTATAAAGGTTAAAAAATGTTTATAATCTTGACGTGAAGTTTCCGGGATTTGACAAACATCGCTATGTGCTAGTGCTAATTTTTGCTTAGCGTGGTTTGTACTTAAGTTAAAAGGTTCACCTGTTATTTTGCTTTGAAAACAAAGTTCACAGTATTCTAGAGTGTTGTTGGACGTAATTTCTGCCCTTGGCTGCTCCTTTTCTCAATAGGTTTAGGTAGCCGATATTGAGATGAAATAGCCGCTGATGCCATAAATTTATATTCAGACAGGCCAAATTGACTTGATCGTTTGGGTCGAGTTTTGAGACTACCAGTTGATTTGCGGTGTTCAGAGTGTAGAGGTTAGACTTGATACGAGTACCTGTAACAATCAGATATCCTTGTGGTAAGTGTACAAAACTTTTATTGTAGTTAAATGTGACCATGTAGTTCTTTTGTGCTAAAGCACCCACAAAGATGAAGTTTGTACATGCCTGAGACACGTAGAGTACGTTTTTTTACTCTTTCAGTATTTTTTGCGTGAGATAGGTTGTCGAACTGTACATGAGCTTTGAGCTTTCAGATTGCTTGTACACCTTCACTTTATCATGTTGATTTCCAGCCATTTTGCCTTTTGTTTGGGTAAACAGCAAAATCTAGTTATATGACCAAATTTTTTACAGTTTAGACACTGTATTTTGTTGTTTTTATTTTTTGCTTGACGGATATTTTTAGAGTTGTATCTTCGGTCGTTCGCATAAAAACCTTGTTCATGGCGCTTCCCTGATTTCAGCACTTTAGCTTCCTTAAGAAGTTTGCTTTTAATTTTGGCAGAGATTAATACAGTATTGGAGATGTGTATAGTCATTCGAAGTGGTTTATAAACTTTTGAAAGACCCATGAGCATGAAGGTCACCAGCCATTTGTGTAGATTGGTCGCTTCTTGAGCGGTTAATTTTTGTTGGCAAGTAAAGAATTTTCTTAGGTATTCTGTCATGGATGCACAGTCTTTGAGACGAATATTAACAAGTTTATATAGTAGAGCACAGTCTGCATCGGCACTTGTACTAGTGAATAATGTCTTTAATGCGTCCCAAACTTCTTTTTCTGTCGTGTATTTTTGGATATGTGATCAGCTTTATACTAATACACACACACATTTTTAATAAAAATTAATTTACATGTATTTACACAGACTTCAGCTGAGGGGACTACTTTACGTAATAAAGCAAAAGCGGCTCGAGACGTCTTTCTTGCCAGCATACGTAGTAGCTTTAAGAGGATCTATCGTTGCAAACGTCTGTACACGTTAAAGAGCGCAAAACTACTGACTGTACAATAGCTTACGCATGAAAACTGTAGCTACGCTTAGTTTAAGCCAACCTAATGTACACAGACATATATATATTCAGAAAAGATGACTAATGCAGACTCTATGTGCTTTGAAGAAATATGTTAATAACACGGTAGAATTGTGCAGAAGGCCGCATAGTTACTGACTTGTCCACATAATTACCCCCCTCCCCTGTACATGATTTTTTGCATAAGTTACCTTTTCTAAACATATATATACACACATTTAATATACTTAATTTATTGCTTACATATAGAAACATCAACAGAATACCAAAAAATAAAAAATAAATACTGGAGAGAAAAAACTTCAAGAAGAAGAATAAAAGTCTTTTTTTTATGTATTGCAAAATTGAAAAATGATATTCTACTTTTTAAGTTTGAGGGTAACAGAATTTTAAATAAGGGCATTTTTTTACTATTGCCCTAAGATAAAAAGCAATGTGAAAAAAGGTATTTAATTTTTTTACGCATGCTGTAGGTTTATTAAGAAGTTTATAACGAACAAATTAAGGTCATAAAATAATCTGAATCTTATTTTATTCCAGATAAAAAAATTATTTTAAATGTAATATTTTTACATTGTAAGATATTTCTCCTAACCATCGTTTCGTAAAACCTACAAAAAATATTCGAAGAAGGTAGGCTGATAATTTAAAAGAAAGAATTAGTCAAATTGAAAATTTTCTGAATCATGCATGTATTAAGTCAATATTTATTTCATCTTACTATACTTTTTTAGTCTCTTAATTTATAACTTTATGTCTTTTTTTATGAACCGTGGAGTCTTAATCATCTTATACATGTAGAAAATAGTTAATAATAATTATATTATTTTAAAACATATATAATTACTAATATTACCTTTGCATGTATGACAGAAGTGGTGACACTTTTGGCAACCATATGTTGTTTTAAAGTAACCATCTGGGCATTCAGGATGACATTCCCCTGATACTAACTGCCACCCCTTTGGACAAGTCACGCACTGATTTCTTTTGGGCCCAGAGCAACTTTTACAAGATAAGTAACACTTTAAACACTGTCCTCTATCACCGTAGTACCTGTACATATTAAAAAATTAAAAATCATAAGCATGAAAATACATAGATTCATAATGAAACTAAACATTAGTCAACTACACGTTAATTTATTTTGATTGCAAGAATAGTTCACACACAACATCAAAAGTCGTCAAAGTGATAATTAGAGATTATTTGTATCCGCTAAAACAATTTAATGCAGCTTATTATAATACTAAGCGCATAATTTATGCTAGTAAAACTAACATCTCAGAACTCTGATTATTTTTCTTTTATTTAAACTTAAGAGTTCCACTCTTTTTTTAAGATATGTAGTTTTCAATATTAAGATGAACCATAAAAACTAACAAACTGACAATTTTATTCAAAATTATTTGAGATTAAATAACACAATGGTATGTCAAGACAAAGTTAAGAGTAATAGAAGAATTTGTTGCAACAAAAGCTTTCCTTTTTTTTTCACTCTTAAGTCTTTGATACCATAGATTATTTCTAACTATAGGCTAACATGCAACGGTGGAATTTGCGGCAAATGACATGAAGAGCGATTTATTCTGAAATGAATACCGTTCGGATTATATTTTTAGGGCAAATGGCTTTTAAATGAAAGGTGATTAAAAATACATGACAAACTACCGCTATGGGGTTAGAAAGCAATGATGCAGCTGCTTGAACACAAAATGTTGCCACAATCTCAGTCAGCTGTGTCGATAAGTTGCAAGATATCGACAATATCGTTGGCAGCTATACTTGACCCATACGCGCGCGCTAGTGCGTCTGCTATAACTGCTGTAAGCTGTAAGGATAAATAATGCAAAGGTTAGAGCACAGTCATATAGAGTGCAGAATCCGCATAAAGAACCCCACTAAGCTTATAGGATTGAGAGAGAGGTCCACGGAAGTAACATGGAGCAAGACCTCTCTCTCTTTCTCTCACTCTCATGGGCTTGAGTAGTTCCAAATCGCGGATAATATTGTCTGCTCCACATGCTGTTATTTTTAATAAAGGGTCTGAGTTTTAAATGATGTACATTAGTCATAATTTTTCAAGTCTCCATTATGATTATTATAAATGATTTGTAGACTGACACAACAAATATTGCAGTAAATGGCTACCAAACAATTCATAATGTATCATTTTATTGTAGGTTTGTTGTAATTAAAAAAAAATTAGCTTTTTAGATTTGTCTTTCAGTTGCAACCACTAATGGTCTAACATTCTAATCCAATTTCCAGAGACAATGACTGAAGAATTTCTATTGTGATTAAGAATTGTGACTAAGCTGTTCTACTACTAGTATCTTTAATTAAGGCTTTGTAAAAGTAATAAAGATAAATTGAAGCTCAAAAAGAGAGCCAATACCAATAACTTTCTTAAATCAACACGATTTAAAATAACTTTCGCAATCTATTACACTAATATTCTGATCATATTAATAATAATACTTTTATTGCCTCAATATCTTGTCATTTACGGAGCCTTATTACTAGAAACAAACATAAACTCACACGTTGTTTGGTAATTAATTATTGCAATACTGGTCGTTTTAGTGGAAACGTCATTCATAATTTAACTCGAAAAATCGTAAAGCTTAAAGTGATGTAAATTATGAAATTTGAGTAAGTCTACATTATAAATGACTTGTCAAATAAAACAAGTATAATAGTAACTATCCAAATTGTAATGTTTTTATTGAATATTCGCTTTTTCAAATTTGAATCCCAAAGAACATCATGTTAGCAGTTCAAGCCACTATATTGTATATCATTTTAATGCTCTAACATCTCTTGCAGTGACTACCACCAAGGCATTTAATGAGATGCGAAAAATTTTTCTTTTGTAAATTGTTCTGTGACTATTTATAAATTGCTTAGTCACCCACAGATTAACGTATATTTTAAAAATCCATGAGTACTTATACTTTACCGTCTGTGAGCAATGGATAAGTAATTAATTACATGCATTGATGCACCCACGGACATGACTGCAAGAAGTAAAATTTAAAAATAATTCTCATTCACAATACATTTAACACAATATTCTTTTTTGACGATTTTTTAACAAAAATAAATTCTAGTTGACAAATTTAATGATTATTTTTGAATAGTCGTAAAAAACGAGAATTTGTGTATAACATTTTTTAGTAGTATCGTATCAAAATTAATTATTTTTATAAACACGTAAAAAATTATTATCTTTTATAAGAAATTTATTGCGTTACTCTATACCCAAAAACTGAAGGAGTTGTGAGCATTTACTTAATTGCACAAATCGATTATTATTAAATAAGTAGGTTATAATTGAACAAAAAACTTTTTTTCAACAGCACTGCAGTTCTTTGTATNGTGCTTTACAGGAATTTGTACTTTTGTTCTTTTGGATAACAGACCATTTTATTTTTATTATTTATTAGTATATTATAAAAGATATGTAATACTTGTTGTCAATATTTTATTTTCCTTCATCTAGCAGTTAATCCTCATTCTATTTAAGATATTTTTAAATATTTGTGAAATAGATTACGCCGTTTCTATAAAGTTATCATTGGAACGGAGCCTTATGATTTAACGAAGCTAATAATTTAGCCCTACCAATTAAAAATTATTCAATAGGTTATCTTTATTCACAGGATCCTTAGCATAGTCTAGTAAAATTTCATGTGATCTATAAGTAGGACTTGAAGGTCTTCTCTTTTTTCTTAGATTTGAGCCAATGTATCGAATAACTTTATTCTAATTCTATTACAAATTAATTATCTTAAAGTTAAGCGCTTCTCCAAATAAAATGAAAAGATTAAACTAGTAGAAAATTTTCCACTCCATACGATGGAGATATTGTTCTCATTTTCATTAGATCTCTTACCATTTGAATGATACGAGCATAATAATTCTTACATGCTCCTTTAATGATGCTCAAGAAAGCTTTTAATTTTTCTACTGTTTTTCGAATGTTGAGGTTGAGACGATTAACTAGCTGGCTTTGAAGTTCAATAAATGTATTTGTCTATGTTACTCATAAAATGATCAAATAACTAATTCTCATTAGATAAGAAGATACAGAACTATTAATTAATCTATTTTGAACAGCTGTTAATACTAACTTATGAAAACTTGTTAAATAAATAGTGTAGTTATCATTTTTATTGTGATTTCTCTCAAGAGATTTGGAATATATTATACCTATCTCTACTATTTGCGGTGGACAATATCTTGTAAGGTTAGTATAAAAAGTTTACTTGTGTACAATTAAGTTTTTTAAAATATTCTAATGGCTGATAGTTTATTTTATTTTAGGAACACATTCAGCATACAAATTAACATAATATTTATTAACATTTTGAATGTCTATTATAATAAACAAATAAGTAATAAGGGCTTCAGGTGAAGTACTCTATTCTAAAATAAATTCTAGCGACTTTTTTGTCTGCCAACAATTTTTTGGTTACACCTTTGATAAAAGTACTAGTAGCATTGGATTCGCTGAGTTCCCATTGAATATTTACAGTAATAAACATTGTAATGCCATTAATTAAACAAATTCTGTGATTGAAGTGGTTAAAAGATTTCAGGCTTCTATTATGAAATGTTGTTTTCAAATGGACACCTAAGGTATATGGCCCTATTATCGACAGTCTTACAAAAACTGTCAGGGAACTTATATAATATTAAAACTATAGTAAATTATTTTATTGTAATTTGAATTAATATCAATACTTTACCTAATTTAATGGAAGTGTACATTTTTCTGCATTAAATAATCAACCATTAGTATTGTTTATCCATTGAAAAAAAATTATGTGGCTCTATTATCGAACCCCAAGACAGTTAATGTATGTATTATCGAGTGCCTATTATCAAGCTCGTATGAGATTAATATTTATATACTTAAACTGTTTTTATATTGAATTATGTGCATATTAATCTAAATTAATAAGTTTCCACCGAAGTAGTAAATTCGTACATCGATTTATTGCAACAAAAATAAATTCATACGAAACTTCATTGAAGGAGAGATTAAGGTTAGATACGCTGCTAAATATTGCGAATCGAGGGCCTTGATACATAATACGCTTTCAAAGATTAGTAGAGAGATTGCTAACTGCAATGCTACGAGATAAGTTCGCATTTTTTCACTGATTTGACCAGCCCGTTTCGGCCATGCGGCTAAACCAGGCACAAATATTTTCTTTTTTATTTGAGAAGCATGGAAGGGGTACGCCGAGTGTGTGCCTATAGTCTCTCGCATACAGCGGCTTGCTTCCGCTGTATGCACTCATAGCTGTAGAGCTATGGTCAGCATTTCCACTCTTCTCTTCGTATACGCACATTTGGTATACCCCTTTTACTAAGTATAAATAAAACTTACAGAAATCCCACTTCAATATTAACTGAGTCATATATTTTTTTCAACGCGTGATATGGCAAAAGGTTTAGTTTCAACATTGACCGCTTCATTTACTTTAGTACAGCCTCTTTGGCACTAGTAGCCGCTTTTCACCTCAAATTTACTATGTGTAGTTATCTGAAACAGCGTTATCATCACAGGAAACAGCGTAGAGCTGGATAACGAATACACATCATGCACATACTTGTTGGACACTTTTTTTTTGAGAACTTGACAGGTATTTTTTTCTTGGGAACTTAGCGGGTACTTGGCGGACATTTGGCGGGCACTTGGCAAATACTTGGCGGGTACTTGGCGGAAACTTTGCGCGCCCTTGGTGGGTACTTTGCGGGAACTTAGTGGGCATCTGGAGATTATTTGTCGGCAGATTGCTTGGAGTAAGCAAGTAGTTTTTTTTGTTTCCTTGGCTATTCTCTTGACATAGATTTTTATAGTTAAGGCGCTTGTTAATTATTTTTTATCGTTTTCAATGTATTACTTTAGTTTTTACAGGCACTCAAAGTCCTTTTATTTGCGTTTTTGGGTAGTACTTAATACAGTACTATCAATAGTTATAGAAATTTACTTTATTCGATATATATTTTTAGTAAGATTTTAATAGCCATTGTTTCAATA